TGGGATCGAGATTGCTCTACAGCACCGCCTATCACTCTCAGACCGATGGGCAGTCAGAGAGAACTATCTAGACACTGGAGGATATGTTGAGATCTTCGGTTTTACAATTTGAAGACACATGGCACAAGCGCTGCTGTTAATAGAATTCGCCTACAACAATAGCTTCCATTTGAGCATTGGTATATCACCATTTAAGGCCGAAAATGGATAAAAAGAATCTAAAGCATCGCCGATCTTTGTATGGGAAACCATGTCGTACCCCGCTGTGTTGGTCTGAGGTAGGTGAAAGAGTTTTGGTAGGTTCTGAGATCGTGGATGAGATAACATAGAACATTCAGGTGATAAAGGCTAACCTAAAAGTAGCTCAGGATCGACAAAAGAGTATTGTAGATAGACATTCGACCGACAGAGTTTATAAGGTTGAAGATTGGGTATTCTTAAAGTTGTCACCGTGGAAATGCATTGTATGATTCGGAAAGAAAGGGAAGCTAAGCCCTCGTTACATCGGACTATATTAGATCATTAAACGAGTTGGTGAAGTTGCTTACTGCTTGGATCTACCTCCAGAGTTGTCAATTGTGCATAACGTTTTCCATATGTCGATACTACAGAGATACACCTCTGATCCATCACATGTGATTCCTCCTCAATCGTTAGAGATTAACCCGGATTTGACTTAGGACGAAGTTCCAGTGAAGATTCTTGACTGCAAAGACAAAGTGCTCATAAACAAGACTGTTCATATGGTGAAAGTTTTGTGGAAGAACCACTCAGTTGAGGAAGCTACTTGGGAGCGCATGCAAGATTTGTATCCATGTTTGTTCTTTGATTGATTTCTAGTAGTATTGAAATTTTGAGGATGAAATTTTCTTCAGGGTGTAGGTTGTGACGACCCATCTCTAATTTTCTATGTAATTTCACCCCGAGTGTGTAAATTGACATTTATGCTCTTGTTGGTGAAGTGACGTGGACGTGATTATGTAGCTTTAAATTATTTTTCTCACTATCATAATTAAATAGTACTCGTTGTTAAGAACGCATGGGCACAAGTTAGGCTCGAATTGAACTTGTAACAAAGAAGTTGTGTTTCGTTAAAGTATGTAACAATGAGTAGAATTGTACATGCATGTGTTCTAAATTACTAGCGTTAGAAACAATATTTTTGATCGGAGACGGATTTTCTTGCATGCTTTTACTGTGCGAAATCTGAAAACTCTTATCTTTGACTCATTTTTAAATTGCACCCGTGTCCTCAAATCCCTTACGACTAATCAAACACTCTCCTCAATCCTCTCATTTAACCAGACAACTTCTCTCACTTTTCCACCGATCAGAAAAGCTGTCAGTCTCTCTCTATTCTTCTTCATTTCTCTTTCTCACACCCGTACCTCTCTCTTCTCTGCAACAACATACACACCATCAAAGACTCACAAATCAAACAAGTGACCACCACCAGTGTGCTCGACTCGACCTTACGATCAAAACTATACCAACCGATCACGAGTTGGTTGAGTTTTGAGTGGTCAGCGCTGAGCAACTCGGAAGCTTCGACTTGGTAGGTTTTGCTCAGACAAGTTTCAGGCTGAGTTACAAGGTTTTAGGGCTTGGGGAAGCTTCTACACAACTTCCTAGGGTCCTTAGAATAAGTTTAGGGTCGAGTTAACGTCGAAACAAGCGAGTTCGAGGAGTCGAAATTTAGGCTGAATCTTGCGAGGCTTTTTTCAGGCCATTTCTTGTTCGTTTTTAGAGTTCCAAAAGGTATAGACATGTTCTACTCCTCAAGAGCTTCATTTCCATATAAATTTATTCAAAAATGGTTAAAAAATGAGCAAGTTATGAAGGTTCGAAGATTTTCCAGAAACCGGCGAAAATCCCCAGTTTCTAACGAACCAAACGGCAGCGCCGGCGGTGAGGATCACCAGAGAAGACGAAGAATATTTCATCAAAGTTGACGGAATATTCTAATGACATCATGTAACGCTGTTACTATTTAACGGAATATTTTGTTAATTCTGACGGAATATTCCTAACATCCGTCAAGGTTTTGTTAGGCGCGCGCCTGTGCCGTAGATTGGGTGGCGCGTGAAGCTGTGTCCGGCCTTTGGCCGGCAAATGGTTGACATATGCGGGTTCGTATATTCAAACCTTTCATTTGAGCAAGCTATAGGGAGTTTTTCCTAGCTTTTTCATATATGTGTTAATTAAGTAATTATTGTTAGTTGTTTCGCATATAGGAGAGACTTACCCCGAGGATGTACGAGGACCAGGGAGGCTAGGGGGCTACGACCCATCGACATATCAGTGAGTGGACATTTTGTTTTCATGTGTGTGTGTATATATATAAACTTTATAGTTTCCAAAAATACTTTTAAATTGATTTAAGCTTATATGCCATGGTTTATTTAATTTTAAAAATGCTGTTATGTGGTTGAGATTTATATATTGTCCTAGCATATTCATATGCATTTTACCTGCTCATAAATGTTGCATTGTTGTGAAGTGCAAAAATAATCCTTTGGGATGCGCAGATAAGTTCAGGTAAGTTTATTATGCTGATTGGAAACATTGAATAATTATGGCATGTATATATTCATGTAGTCCGCTCATCATTGTTGCACCCCGATGTTAGTGCTCATCCCTGGCCAAGGCTAGTCCTTCACGTGATGTTCACCTCCCGTATCGCACGCTCGCCTCTGATCCAAGTAGGTGGCACCAATCCTGTTGTATAGGTCGTACTAGGCAACTCCAACTTGTAGGTGACCGCGATTATCGCCAGTCTTCACGTGATCGTAGAACTATAACGTGTATATATATTACACCCAGTCCTGTCGTACAGGTCGTATTAGGCGACTCCGACTCGTATGCTAGCATAGATTGATAAGCAAACTAGGTTAGTCGTACAAGTTGCATTAGGCGACTCCGATTGGTATACTATCATAAATTGTTGAGCACTTGATTTCACTTATGCTATTGTTGTGCTATCTTGATTTGGCATGCTTTTGGATTTACTGTTGTTTTGCATTTGGTTTTCATACATATACGTAGTATGATTTTCTGGAAATTATACATGTTTTACAGCGATGGGTTAGTATGTTCAGAAAATAAATGGTTTTATAAACTTTTGTTTTTGTGCCCACTCACCCTTCTGTTTGTCGCCCATCCAGGTCCTAGATAGCTAACCTACGCTGTGGCGTGCAAGGATTAGCGGTGATTTTGACATATTCCTGTTTAAATGTAGGAGACTCTTCCTGATTGTGTACTAAGTACTTAATTAGTTCGTCAGCATTGCTTATGTTATCTATGCTCTGAACATTTGTAGTTTATGAGTTCTATACACTACTGCGCACTCACTTTATTAGTTAAATAAGTTCTAGTTTCGGTTTTAATTTATCCATGTTTTTTTACAGCACTTGCACCTTTGGTTACGTCACCTTCGGATGATTGCCAACATGCCTCGACTCCGGTCTAGGTGTGTTATTTTGATCCTAGAACTTGTTCTCAATAAGTTTGCTTATGATCTCATTAATTGGAAACTAGATAGTGTGTAAAAGCATTACCAAATTATTGTGGAGCCTAAAATAATTCCAAAAATTCTAGAGGCGACACATGGACTTTTCAAGAAAGACAAGATTAAATGGGCAGGCTCCTCAGATACTCCCACACGCAGCTCACACCCCTAAAGGTCCCTGCACCTGAATACGATTGCCCACAGTTCACCTGCCCTTGGTAAGGAAAAGTCAAAGCATTAAAGATGATGATTAATTACCCAAATCCTATCTTTAATACATTCCCAATTGAAGATTGACTCCATTCAAGTAATTAATTCATATTTAAATCAATTAGGGATAATTACTCCATTATCTCAAGATATTATTTTCTATTTAATATATTGAGAATATTTCTCCCTAAACCTTGGCAAATAGGATGTCGCCATGTGTAGAGTAAAACTCTAACACCATGGCCAACCACTCCCCTATATATACCTCCTATTCTACCAAATTTCAGTAAGCAGAAGTGCCAAGTGCATTAATGCTATTATTTATGCATAAACTTCAGAAGTATTTTGTCGAAAGAATTTGAAATAAAGGAGCTTGGCGCTCTAAAGTACTTCCCTGGCATTGAAGTATTTAAATCAGCAGAACGTATTTTCTACTCTCATTGTAAGTATGTGTTTGACTTGTTGACTTAAATATGGATATATGGGTGTAAAAAGCTCACACTCCGATTGAAATGAATCATAAACTGACTGAGCAAGTTGATGTACCAACCGACACGGAGCAATGTCAAGGCTTTGTTGGGAGGTTAATCGACTTAGCTTACACAAAGCCACATATTGTATGTGTTGTGAGTGTTATTAAGACCTTTTATGCATTCACTTAGTGAAACCGTGAGAGACAAAATGTTGTCGATCAAATATTAAGGTATTTGAGTCGGCGACAGGCAAATGGATAATGTTTCTAAGAATTATCTTGACTTCGAGATATACGACTGCGGATTGTGTTGCATCCATAATTGACAAACTTTCTACATCGGGTTATTTTATATTTGATGAAGAAAATCTTGTTGCGTGACAAAATAAAAATAGAGTGTTGCTAAATCATGTGTTCAAGCTGAGTATTGAGGGTATCACTCTTGGTATTTGTAAGAATGTTGTGCATTAAACTTGTGACTACAGAATTGGGTTTTAAACTGACAACCCATATCTATATATGCATTTTTTTTTTTTCATATCGTACTTTCTCTAAAAAATATGTGCATTTTTTGTGTGATAATTTAATGCAGTTTTTCATATCCGGTCCAACATTTTCACACTGAACACATATATGGAAGAATAAACCAATTTTGTTATCATTTACGAGTCTGAAGATCAACTAGCTGGCTGATGTCTGTCACTAATCCCGTTCAGTTTGAATTTCCTCTCCAATAGAAAAATCGTGAGAAAACTTACATAATTTTCATGGAAGATAATATAAAAGCATAGCTACGACTCTTACACGGAATGGATGACGAGTTCATGGATATAAAATATCGTTTTTATATAAATATACACTGCATCACTTAGCCCAAACACCATTTAAACGTATAATATCGTTGTATATATAAATAAAAAAAGCATAAAAAACTTCCATCGTTAATATCCAAACATACAGAAACATAGGAAAGTTACTACACTGCCCTAGAGGCTCCATCGTTTTTCAGATGTTGGAGAAGTTACTGTGGCGCAGATCACCACTAGTTCGAGTGAGATTTACGCGCATCTAGACATGGCCGGCATGCCCAGGTAATGATCAGCTAGGGGTCCGAGAAGGCGGCGAAGAGTTCATAATCAGACTTACAGGCAGATGAAGGGCAGAATGAGCCAATGACCAGAAGCTGCAAGAGCTTTGACACAAACACCAACATCGCTCTCTCTCTCTCTCTCTCTCTCTCTCTCTCTCTCTCTCTCTCTTCTATAAGGAGAAAGAAATTAAAGTGGGGCTGATCCAAGTATCAAACGGCACTCCTAATTCTTTGAAACTTGCTTCCGATTTCCTTGCTTGATTCTTGAACTTGTAGAGATGCTAGTCGATCCATGGTGATGACATGATGCGGTCCCACATTGCTGGAAGAAGTTTTACTTGACGTCAATGCTGTTGGTTTTTTTCGTTCTGCACTCTTGAACTGCACATGTTGAAAGGAGGCCAGTTTCTGAATAGACTTCTCAATTTGTTCAGCGTAAGCAACAACGTCACTTAGCAGCGAAGCAACAGTCACAGCTGGCACGATGTCTAGGAGACGAACTTGATCTCCACCAACTCCCGCCACCGCCGCTGCATTAGTCCTAAGCATGGATTTGAGGTTATTGGCTGCAGCTCTTGATTTTGTGATGTGGGAGCTGGCAGCAGAGCATGGCTCAGTCATTGTTTTTAGGGCCCATGCTAGCTCTTTCAGTGCTTTGCCTGATTCTGAACTCATCTTCATGCACAGCTCTTGAACTTGGTTGTTTTGAATGTTTAGTGGTGTCTGTAAAAGAATTTAAACAATTAGTTTTATCAAACAAGTTGATTACTTTGCATTTATATATATTTATCATGCACATTAATAAGAAAATTTGATGTGGTACAATGTATACCTGGACTTCAGAGTTGAGGTAACCACTGAGGGTATCAATGCGGTAGGCGCATTGCCGGGTGAGGTTTCCGATCTTGAGATAGTATCTCCAAGGATGACGGTACCTAAACTTTCCATGTCTAGGCTCCCACCTTGCAAAATTGGCCTGCAAAACAAGAAGGTATAGTCAGCATTATTAAACCGAAAATGCTAGGTAGACCATGTTCTTGGACATTATTTATAGACCGCATGATGTGACAATTGATGGTTGGATGTTTCTTTAATGATTTAAAAAATGAATCCAACTATCAATTGCCCCATCATGTGTGGCCTACAAAATATAGTTACCTAATTGAATTAGAACCATTGATTGCATAGAGCCACTTCTCAATGTGCAATCCAGATTCACAATCTCACAAGATAGCGTGTCAAATATGTAACGAAGATCATTTATCAAAGAGACTGACCTGAGTTTCTTCACTCTGTTTTGAATTGAGAACACTAATATATCCTTGCAAATGTGCCATATTAGACTCTCCACTGCCAGCTACTTTGAAGTATTCATCCCCAAAACCTACAATTTTTTCATTTTTTTTTTCCGACCTTGTGAGTTTTCCCTGTCACATTGATATGACACCTAAATTCCAGCAATGAAATACTGTATTTTAAAATAACAAACCTTCCAAGAAGCTTCCGAGCTTTTCAATATTCTTGGCTACTGAGTTGTGCAGATCATCGCCAGCCCATACTGGGCAAATGAAAACGCACACAAACACAGCTATAAAGGCACCTATGAGGATTGTGGACGCCCTCTTGTGAGCCATTTCCAGTATCTCCTCATCTCGGTACCCCGATACCGATATCAAACAGAATGTCAAGATAAAAATGAGGAGTCCATAGTCATATCTCGCCTTCATCCGCGGAAAGAAGCGTATAAATGTCACTGATGCAGCTGCATATATACAATGTAACATTCCGTAAATTCCTTGCTCATTATTGTACTTATAATTTAATGACATTATAACTGATTGAAGAATCCCCTATTTCCATTTTTATTTCAGTGCATGGAAAATGAATAATTAAGTATGTTTATGAGATCAAGTGTATTAATTTTACCTAGTAGAAAGACGAAGATGCCGATGAGTATTGGATGAGCTATATCTCCAGATAGATTTGCCAGGTGATGAACACCAAATCCTAGAGCACCTGCTAGGAATGTCGCCAAGATCCTGTTTAAACCTCTTCCCAGTGTTGCTCCTGCATTATAGATTAAAGATGATGCGATTAGAAAGTTACCTAACGATTAGATTTATCAGAATATCGCTCGAATAAGAAAAAAGTTGCACTAAAGATTAGCATTTTCTTAATTGGAATTATGAATTAAACTCACAAACAACAAAAGAAATTCCCAGACATCTTAAAACAAAATGAGAAGTGACTTAGGATTGAACAAATCAAATGAGAATCACCCAACACGAACAAGTGAAGGGGTGTACAATAAGAAACTAGGAGTGTGAAAATTACTACCGGAACGGAATTTTTCACAATGTGATTTCGGTAAGTACATAAGAAATTTAACAGAAACACAAAACGTACCTACTGAAAATTCGAAGACAACCACCACAGTTAGAATAGCCCACATGGCAGTGTCACCAAGACCATTATAGAAGGGCTGGAAGTAATAGAGCAATGACACCAAAAGAACTGCTAATCCAACTTTAAGAGAATGAACAATCCTTCTGGGATCATCTTGTCCAAGCTTCTTTAATTTCCTTGGAAATTCCACCACCTTGTTCATCACCTTGCCACAATAACCCATCGAACTATTTTCTGCATCGTTGTGATTGTCCTGATCACGAACTGCTGGAGATGCCATTTTTTTTTTTTGTGTGTGTGCCTATGAGGATGAAGCACACACTTTTCTGAGAAAGATTGACTGATGTTCTTGATCTTTGGAAAGAAGTAGATAGTTGTTCATATATAGTGAAATAAGATACGTAGAAAGTGATGACGAAGCTACCTTGAAACAGAGATCTAGTGCGTCTTAGTGAAACTAAGGTTTATAAATAATTACAAATACATTTTGTTTTTTTACACAATACAAATATTTTAAACCACTTTAACAAAGATATCTAGAGTAGTTAACTGGGCTAATTGACATCTACCGTTATAAATATCATTCTAAATAAATATTTTTACTATCTTTCAATAATTTAAGTAAGAAATTGCTAGCTGAGAGTAATTAATATGCTTAAAGAGAATGGTAGCTACTTTTTCATTTTACATTCTTTTTATATATCCTTCCTATTTAGCCTTTAGCAATACTTTATTATTCTTCGAATTTCTTTCTTTAAAAAAATTACTCAAATTGAAAATTGTTAGCATGCTATTTTCATCGGCATTAAAATAATTTAATGCGTAATTATTAAGTGTTGCCATTCAAATCACCTTTATTGGCCCCATCTCTAATGATGTCAATCGATGAAGTTCACATCTATTAATTAAAGAGATAGATGAGCAAAGTGGTCAATGGAAGTGCTCCAAATATAATGTTTAATTTTTTTTAGGGTAAATAGCTAAAATGGTCTCTGAGATTTGCATAACACATCATTTTGGTCATTGAGATTGAAACTAAATAGAAATAGTCACTAAGATTGTCCACCATCCATTATTTTGGTTATTCCGTTAAAAACTCCGTTAAGTGTCTCGGAGCTCTTGGCCGGAAGTTTGGGCAACTTTCAAAACTTCGTAACTCAATTATTTCTTAACCAAATTCGACCAATAATATATCAAAATGAAAATAGGAAAGTGTAAAACAAGATTTTACCTATTTGGAAGCCCAATGGTTGGCGGAGATGGCTAGAAAATAGCCTCAAAGTTAACTGGTCCGTGAGAAAATTGGAAAACTCGCCGGAAAATGGGTAAACTTTAAACGTTCATAACTTCTTCAATACTCAACGAAATCGAGTGATTCAAAAACGAAAATCATACTTATCGATGAGAGGAAGAGAAGTTATGAACGTTTAAAGTTTACCCATTTTCCGGCTAGTTTTCCAATTTTTCCACGGACCAGTCAACTTTGAGGCTATTTTCTGGCCATCTCCGCCAACCATTGGGCTTTCAAATAGGTATAATCTTGTTCTACACTTTCATATCTCAATTTTGATATATTATAGGTCGAATTTGATTCAGAAATGATTGAGTTACGAAACTTTGAAAATTGCCCAAACTTCCGGCCAAGAGCTCCGGGACACTTAACGAGAATGACAAAAATGATGGATAGTGGACAATCTCAGGGACCATTTCTATTGATTTTCAATCTTAGGGACTAAAGTAATGTGTTACGCAAATCTTAGGGACCATTTTGGCTATTTAGCCTTTTTTTTTTATATATAACAATACATTTACACTAAGAGATTGAGAGATTAGATTAGTATTGAACTCACTAATGAAATTCAAAACATGAAATTTTTTTTTTTTTTTTTCTGAATATCCTTTTGTATAAGGAAGAAAGATAGAGCTTTTTTCCTTCTACATATTGGCTAATTAACAGGTAGTAAGTACTACCAAATTTGTAATAATTGTACACATAATAATCCGTATTAAATAAGTATTGTAGTACTAGTATTAGAGCATTACGCGTACACATTAAATTCTTTATTTAAAACGAACATATTTGCAAGAGCCAGTAGGAAAGGAATAGCATTTTCAACATAAACACGTCTCGATCCACATCCATGAGATGGAAACGCGACCGTCCTGCTGTGACTGTGCTGGCTTTGCATGGACAACTAGTATACCAACCCAACAGATGTCACAATTAAATTTGTTTTCACTCTGCAAACACGAGTAGCCGTACCTACTTTAGCATTTTTCTTTTGTGATTTGCTTGTGGGTGAGTGATTCACAGGAGAAACCCTCATGGGGTCAATGCAAATTGTTGCACCACCTTTTGTTTGTTTGTTTGTTTGGGACTGTCGTTTTTCCAAGTACGTGAGATACTCTTGCTCGGAAACAGACTGATCTATTTATTTATTGTGTTGCGATGGTGACCCATTTATAGATGATACCTATGCCCATAATTTTATAATCTTATCTGTTGTTCTAAACCCTAATAAGAAATCGAATGGAGAGATTTGTTTTGTTTGTGCGGGTTCAATGTTGCACACCTGTTCTTTGGGTAGGTAATCATGGAGTGTTCACCATTAATTGTTGATATACATTTTTTATTTTGAAGAGCAACGATAGCAAATTCATTGTTGATAATATACTTAATAGAGGGGGAATGAGAGCGTTTGATTTTGTCCTCACACATGACTTTTTTTCGAGAATAATATTTTACATGAAAGGTGTTTACAATTACCAGAGTATTTCGTTTTGATAAACAATGTTACATATGCAAGTTTATCTTCGTGTGATATTGCATAACAAGATTGAGACATCATATTATAATAAATGCATTTAAGATAAATTGTTCTTCCTTTTAAGATTTTGTATTTTTAGATTCTTTTTTCTCGAAGTTTATTTTTGAGCATTTTTTCTTTCTTGATATCGATGTAGATTGTCAACAATGTCAAGTTAATAGAACGATATAAAACTCACCGGCCGGCCAATAAATTAGTGAAAAGTGATTAACTAGCATACAAGTACCCAAAAGTGTGTAACTAGCGATACAAGTTAACTATCACAATTCAATGAAGTCGACCAAGAAGATAGAGGGTTTAAAGGTAATGTAAGGGAAATCAAAATTTTAAACTAAATTTGCAAACCAAATGATGTGTCGTCAATAGTAAACAAACACATTAATCAACGCTTAAGTAATAATTCAATTATCAACAATCACATCATCGAGTTTACAAATTTGATTTAAAAAATTTGGTTTCCCTAACATTATATAGGATTTAAAGTGTGGAAGTTCATAAGTAATATCAATCTACAAAGCATGAATAGTTTAAATAAATACTCCTTATAAAACTTGGTCGAAGTTGGGTGAAGGATTCTTACTGATAATTCTAATTGGCGGGGCAAATCAATTCGTACTAAGTAATTGAGTATTGCAGTTTTGTCTTAGCTAAAAAGAAATCTCAAATTTCCATTGTTTTGAAAGATATTTATGATTGCATAAACATCTTTTAAAGATATTTAAGTCTCGTTTGATATGGAGGATTAACTTAGGTAAAACTATTCATTATCTTGATGATATTTCAAAGAAAGAAATAGAACAAATTATTTACTTTGTTCAAGTTGAAGGTTATTCATGAAGAAAAAATATTCCTACTAATTCCCACAAAAATGGTAGGATTAAGGGACAACTATCCTTCATGACTGACCTTCAACTTGGAAAAAATATGAATTTGTCATTCATTTCTTCTTTTTTAATATTCGTAATATAGTGAATAGTTTTATCCAAATCAATCATTTGTATAAAAGGAGGTCTCGGTGTATTTTTTAGAATGGAAAATGATATTAATTTATGAGCCTTCACTTGGGTTGGGCTCTTGATTGACCTGTAGCATCCTTATTGTGTTTTGAAAGAGATACCGTTAATGATGTTATTACTAATAAAATGCGGGATGAGGTTAAGCTTCATCCTTAATTGGGTTTTGGTGGATATTATTGAAGCTATTCCTCTTCCTCTTAGTCCTATTGAAGGACAATTTCACCCACCCCTCGTACGTAGTAAGTTCTCAATTAGGTCTCCTTCCAAGAAATTGGCTCCGCAAGCGAGCACAAGTATTGTGTTTGCCTCCTAAAATCAAAATTTGGTTGAATTTTTATTTTGAAATCGCTAAATGTTAAAAGTAGATTATTGTTGTGAAATTAAGGATATGTGTACAATGGAATATAAAATAAATAAGACACAATAGTTACGAAATTCGGCAAGTGCGTCTACGTCTTCAAGGCAATAGCAGTAGTCTCTCTCATTATCAATCTGGAATTACAAAGCCATGGAAACAAGATATTGTATGTTTTCTTCTCTGTTCTCTCCACATATATGTGAGCTGATAGGCCTTTATATAGGAAAACTATATCTTCTCTGTTAAGGCCAAGAGATGTGAAAGTAGACTACATACCTTCAATATTTTTTGGCTGACAAGAACTTCAACTTTTATTGGCTGACAAGAACTTTAACTTTTATTGGTTGACAAGAAGCGGTAGACGGTGCATATTTCTTCATGTGGATCACCACTTTTATAACAATTACACCAATTTTTTATGCATTGGCAATAGTCCTTTATGCCTTTTGTGTAATCTTCATAACGATACTCCCTCTCATCTAATGTTGAGTGTCCTTGATAGTTTCCGAGTATACAATCAATTTTCTCTTCGTGTAAATCCAGTTATTTTAAGACGGCAAGGGAAATGGCAAGGGTAGACTAGTGGAATTGCCTTTACTATTCACTCTGAACATTAATTGTCTTTGTGCAAGGCCATCCATTTGGGAAGGGCAAAGGCAAAGACAAGGGCGATTACTATTAAAAAATATATATTTTTTTAATGCTTTTAAGTATGTTCCATAAAAATAAAATGATTGTCTAATTTCAATACTATATTTCAAACTCCAAGACAAAAATATAGCATTACAACCTTGTACAATATTAAAATAATATCATTCTTCGTAGTCTACAACCTTGGACATCCAATGCGTCGTGATAGGGCGTCCAACGTATGACACAAATTTGTATTTTAGGGTATGCTTGACAACTTTTCAGCATTCGTACTCTGTGAATGACTTCGATGCACGTGGGTGGGGTCAGCCTTCTTCTGCTTAATGTCAGGTCCGATGTCACCTATCGCCAGTGGTTCAAGGCCGGACAATTGTTGCAGGGCAGTCCAACGGGCTTCCTAGAGCCCACCAATTGTCTGCCTATTTTGCACTGGTGGATTGAGCTATCGTTGGACTTATTCTTAATTAGCGGCCTTGTCCATAGTGTGACTGGCTTTAGTGGATGTCTAATTTACATGCTAAATTTAGGCTGTTAACATCCCTCAACTTGGGCAATGTTTT